ATAGAGGTAAAAAGGAGATCTAGAAGAGAAGCGTGTCTATCAGGGTTACTGGGGAAATGCGTAGGGAAGTACACTATTTGCTTGAGAGCTTGAGGGTTTGGATGCTAGCGAGGTCAGTGTTTAAGCCACCTGACACTGGTGTGAGGCATTAAACTCACCGATCACAAATATATTTTCAAACAGACGTAGGGAGATGGTGTTGTCTATATTATCAGAAATACTCCCTAGCGCCCAACAGTCACGAGAGGAAATGGGGTGTTAGAGAAAGAAGAGATTGCTCTGACTGAGTTTAGTAGCGAGAGACGGATAGTCTGCTGGAGATTCAAGAGAGTTCTCTAGCTCGAGGGATATATTCGCGGACATAAACTCCCAGGTCACGAATGTGCATATTATAGTCCTTCCTAGGAGAGAAAGGTAGCCAGAAAGCGGTTAATCAGAGAAGAGGATTGAAGAGTTAAGATTAGTTTCGCAGACAGATAGAATATACAGAGACCTTTTGAAGAAGAACAATTCCACACTGCAGATTTTGGTACGAATAACACGAATATTGGAGAAAGAAAGGTCGAGGGGTTTAGGTGTGTTTTGTTGAGCTGAATTAGTTTTATATATTTGATTGCTTATAGTCATAGTGTTTTATTATGTTAAGGAAAGTTCTAGGTAGTAGTAGCAATCGGTCGTCTAATGTAACATGTGCAGGAAGGGAACTGGCGCAACGTAGTATGGCGTCGGCGTTGTCCATTGTTGATCAGAGCAACGTCTCAAGACGCTAAGCAAGAGTTAGCGCTCCCATTCGGGAACAGCAACAAGAAAATTGTCAACCCGGTTCCCTCAGGATGAACAGACTTTGCCACCATCCACAGATATCACAAAATAATTCCTAACTGCAACACTATTAAGACATGAGAAAAGGTACCGGGAACATCTTTCTAAACAGGAAACAAGGGCTGAGCATTTACTCTTGTTCAAGAGAAGGGCGAGCAATATGGACACCATGACCCGGGTGGTAGCAGCTGTTAATGTCCCAGCTATGGCCAACTAGAGAACCCCCAAACTGGGGTCAAATCATTATGGAAGCATAAAAATACATTTTTGTAGCAAGAATACCAGCAATACATTTTCATAGTAAAATAATGCCAGAAATACTTTATTGGAAAATGAAGAGAAAAATACCAGCAACTGATTTTTGAAAAATGAAAACTTATCAAAGCTCTCAAGAAAATTACATTTCGGCATTAAATCAAGTATAAGAATTTGATATGTCGTTAAACAAGCCAAAAACAATATGGTGAAACTTCGTCTTTTTTAATACTCAAAAGATTAATTCGATTAAAGCCATTTTTATTCATTGATCTAAGAAAACGATTGTATATAGCTGATAGAATTGTGATTTCAGAATGTGTTCGACGACATGGAGGATATCTATATGAAAGTCTCAATCTAGGAGTTGATAATTTGTTAAACAAAGCATACCAAACCAAATATCTGAGGTACAATCGCCCAATAGAGATTTGTTGCGGTGGTTTTAAAGTAATTTTTCGTGCCATGCAATGAAATCAATATAATTTGGTTTAGTGGTAAGAATAGAAATGACATCATGAAGACAGATTAGCTAAGAAGAATTAATTACAAGATGTACTGTAATCTAATCGACGGAAATGGAACTATCTACTGTATCAACTATAAATGCGTAACATCTTTTGAAAGATGGTGTTTCTTCTCAACTACGTATTAGAGGATTTACTACTAACAAACGGACATATTAACATTGTATATAAGAAAAAAAAAAAAACAACAAACAAGGTGGGGATGAAAGGATAATAAAATAAATTACTGTAAATAGGGGAATCGACGAAATAAACAAGAAAATAAAAAAGCCGCATAGACCTAATGTATATTGTCTCCCATATTCTCTAATAGTATTCGGAGTGCGCTCCGCCTGCTGATGATACTAAACTAAGGTAATAGATTACTATGCAGCCGTCCCTCTGTAAGCAGACGGGGTGGCAGTTGGGTCTTAATATAATTGTTCTGTAATTATATATATATATATATATATATATATATATATATATATTTCTCCTGGCAGTTCTTTTGGCTTCGGAGTGAGAGGGTCGAAAACCGGTTGGATTTGTTACTTGCTTCTTTTTTTTCTTTTTTTTTTAAGATTTTGTTTCTATTCATCTTTTTACGGTTATTTAATTGATTATTCCTACCCTCTCCCCCGTTGTGTTTTGTCTTGCATACAATTTTCATGTCTTCTTTTTTTGCAGTAATAAAGTTTTACGACACACACTGATTATCGGAGGATTTATTTATTTATAATGGAACATTATACAACCAAACGGATATTATCAAATAATACTTATGACTAAAATATGCATCATTCAAAATATGCTGCTAAATCTATGAATATATTGCCGTCCAAAACAAGTACACCCTTATGAAAAAAAAATGCTACTTTGAAATTAATGTGTGATGTGACCGCCTTTATTTTCTATTATTACTTGTAGTTTTGATGACAGTGGCTTCACTAGATTTATCCAAGAAGATATTGAAAATTTTATCGTACCGTATGCATTCTTTCAAATCTTTCTTGCTGGATGACCATTGTTTTTCTATATTTCATTTTAATTTCTAAAGAATTAATGTATGCATTTTAATCCCATATGTTTATTATTTCAAACTTTATTATAGTGGATACATTTATTTGAAATAGACGCTCAATTTTAATTTTAAACCGTGTGTATTACGTCTATCGACCCGTGCACTCGTTTGAAATATAACAGCGCGTGTATTTAAAATATACTTATAATAACGTTTGAAGTAACATAATTTTATTTCAGCACATTCCCTTAGTGCTCAGTAAATTTACATTTTGTTAATTTTTGCGTATTCTTTGTCTTGTTGAAATACAAGTCTACATTCTAAGAGTGAGGTCAATAGGTTTTCTTTTAATAAATTTCATTAAAAATCAGCCTTTATGATTCTATTAATAAAATGACATTATTCAGTGCTTTTGGGTGCATATAGCCAGACAATGACGATTCTAGCAACATACAGGCATAAATATGTTCTCTTTCACCTGGCAGGATTACTTTGTCCGAAAATGTCGAAACCTTATCCATAATCCCCTGTGAAGATTTTAAATGGGTCTCACTGTCTCTCGACTTCAGTAGGAGTTCATCGGTCATGTAAACAGATCTGTGTTGGATTAGCGCAGTAGAAACATTTGCAGTACACAACGCATTGAACACATTTTTCTCGAGTTTTCATTAGCTTCTCAAACGAATAAAGTTTGGCGCTAAATTAACTGGTCGATCTGGTCGATTGTACACAGCTTTCCATTTTTCAGTTCTTTTTGATTTGGAAATAATGTTTTTATATCAATCTTGTAGCTACTGGTTATATACATTTTCTCTTTTCGGAAGAAACAAGACGTTCAACTGCTAAGAAATGTTTTCTTACGTAGAGCCACTAATAATCTAAAAGACTACATGCTGAAATCTGTGATTTTACAAGAATTATTTTTAATAATATATACTCAATGTTTAAATTATTTATTAGAACAAATAATCAATAAATACTGCAAATTTTTCTCATTATTTCGACTGAAAAAACATTAAGATTTTACTAATTTTTGTAGGAATATAAATGTTTGTCAGCAGCATTGATATGTTGCTAATTTGTTAAAAAATATTTTTTCACTTTGCGTAAATTTCGGGTCTCGGTAATTTTTGGAGAAAGAATAAAAGTAATAAAATAATTTACAGAAATCTGAACCTTGCCCCTCCCTGCGTGTAAAACTCCTTGAGCAAGTAATGGAGGTTGGGGGTCAAGTAAAGGTGAACGAAAGGAAAGAAAAACAGAAGTTTTTTTTTGTTACAATAAATTGTTTTAATAAACGTGATTTTTTAACCAATGGCTACTCGAGGCGGTTGAAATCTGAAATGCATGTATTCACCGGCAAAAGGTTTCGGGTAAATCGGAGCGACCTTTGGCTATAAAACTCCCTGCAATACGATCATTGTCGGGAATATTAGAAGCTACGCCTCGGAGTGGGAGACGCAACACTGTCCAGTGGAGACGCAATCAAAAATTTCCAAGATCCTCACCGAGCGTGTACTCAAGCGGCCGTGAAACCTTCCCTGAACACAGATTTGACAAACTAATTGTCGTTTTTACGAGAGAAGTAAATTTTATTTTCACCCCGACTATTTAAAAAAATAGTTGTTTCCAGGACAGAGAACATGTACTGTTCTCAAAAGAACGCTCGACATTGAAGACTCTGAAGGCACAAACAATCTTTCAAGAACTTTGACAACTCACCTGAAATGACAAGAACTATTAAGAACGTTCACATTTTCTACCTTCAAGGTAACTGCACCCTTTTACCTGGGTTCGACCTGCTGAAGCCCCTTTTATTGCATCTTCTCCCTTGTAATTTGCATTGTTTTCTATACGTCTTGTTTTATTTGATTTATTTGGTACCCCACAATTAAGATTGACATTATTTTAGAAAAAAAATAAGTTACTTGTCCAGAAATGTTTTATTTTCCTACATTCAAATCACCAAGTTGTTGCATCCATGATATTAAGTATAATTTGTTTTATTAGGTTGGTGCAAAAATAATGACGTAATAATGTCGTTTTTTGACGTATTTTTAAGGTCAAAAAACGACATTATTACGTCATTATTTTTGCACCAACCTAATATTTTATTTTAATAAAATTGTTTTCGTTCTATATCTCGAGGAGTATCTCTCGTCATTTTTTAAGGTGTGCCTCGTTGTCTCTTGATCTCCATTATCCTCAATCACATTTTTACCGAATCCACAAAGACATGTATGAATAGCATATTCTTTTTCTATACTATTTTTCATAAGTTTGAGCCACGAATAATGCTTAATAATACCTGTTTTGATTATGGAATGTTCAACTAGCATAATAAAGACATGATGTAATTGCTTTAGTGTAAAATTAACTTATTATAAATATGTGGTATGATTATTTCATTGATGAGCGATAATCTATCTGAAATTGTCCATATCTATCTATCTATCTATCTATCTATCTATCTATCTATCTATTTAAGCCATATGAATGTTAACAAAAATGTATAATGAAAAGTTAATGTCGGATTATGACACTTCATGCGATGCTATCAAACATATTGAAACGATAATATTGGCTTATGAACACCTTTGTTGATAGATCATGATAGCAAGTCATAGCAATTAATTAGTTTGAGAAAATAAGAAAGATCTCTCCTATGATTCATGTTTTTATTTTTATAAGAGAATTTTCGATACTATTCACTGCAAATCTTTTAATATTAAAATACGCTGTCTGCTGAAATTAGCGAAAATTAAGAGAATCTTCATATATTTCCAAAGAACATGTCCAATGTTAATGCCCTAGAGTTATACAACTCTGTTCCACAATCATGCGAGAAAACATGCAAGGATAATACTGATAATAATGAACAACTAATTAATTTTATTTTGATCATAATGTGGACGTGTTGATATTTTAGCTTAAAACAAAGGAAGTATTCGAAGTAATTTCTTTTCGTTTTGTTTCGCCAAAATAATTTATCATGCGTAGAAGACAATGGTAGTTGTCCAATAGCTACATTCTTTTTCACTCTGACAAGACAAACGATCTCATTTGTCTGTTAACATTTTAAAGCGTTCAAACGACAAACTTTGGGCTGAGTTTAAAAATTTTACATAAAAATAGGGCAGGTTTGACTTGATAGAAACACTGGCACTTTTACGAGAACTAATGGATGTTTTCAGTTATTGTTAATCCTATTTAAATAGTTTCAGAATGAAATTGCTGCCTGCATTTTGTCGATACAGGAATTCAGTTTGACGTACATGCAGGAGCTTTTAGCCTCAATAAATGAGAAAATAAAATTTTCAGCAAATATTCCGAAACCTGCCCGAAGTAAAAGAGAGGGAAAACAAAAAGGGCGAGAGCATGAAATAACATTTTATCAAAATATTATCTTCTAGTTTCTACGCACAATCAGATGTGCTTAAAAATATGAGTAAGTATCCTGAGTGATTCATCATGGCACGAGAATGTGATTTACATCAAAATATCCGGAACTTTATCCCGCTTTCTTCATAAACGGAAAAGATTTATTTCAAAGTGGTCTGAAATAAAAATGAATGAACTGCATTAAATTGTAAAACGATCATCTGGAATGATCACACTGGGGGACAGGTATTTTATTGAATGATATCTGACGCTTGATTCTAGGTAATTCGGGTTCTCTGAATACGAATTTCAATTCGATTTGGCTCTATCATGTCCGAATTATGTGCCATTTTCCAGATTTTTCAAATTAAGACTAAAACATTATGGCATTAAGTGATGCGTTTTTTTTTTGTTTTTTTTTAAAGCATTCACCCTAAACTAGGCGGAAGTACCACTAGCACGCAAAGGGTTTACAGAGAGTGGGACCAAGAATAAAGAGGCGTGATAGAGGAAAGGATGAAGAGAAGGACGGTGAATTAGATCAAGGCATCTGTCGATTGATATTACATTTGAATAAGTGAAGATTAGAAGATATCAGGGAAGCAAGTAAGAGGAAGAGAATTCCACAGACGGGAAGTGAGATTCATGAAGCTATTGAAGTAGAAGAGACGGACACATTTAACCGTTTCGAAAGTGAAAGGGTGGGACTGAGATGCCAACCTAGTAGCACGCTCAAATTCATGCAGTTTGGGAACCAGCGAAAATAGCTCGTCGGAGCAGTTAGCATGAAAGTATTTGTATAAAAGACATAGGGAAGTGACGGCACGTCTGTGAGAAAGTGACTGTAGACGAAATGCCAGATCAGGACCAATCACATTGCATATCCGTCTCTGGATTTTGTTGAGGACCTTGAGACGAACAGCGGGGACTCCAGACCATATATGGCAGCAGTATTCCATAAAATTTGTTTTCAAGTTTCATGAATACAGTCAGTTCATCATCATCATCATCATCATCATCATCATCATCATCATCAAAACTGTTTCGATTTGAGGTCATGAATTAACACATTCTCTCATCTTCAGTGACATTGTATACTGATTCGAGAATATTCTGCTAGCACCCTCCGTCCTTTGCGAGCTTCCGGGTTTGTTGCAGATCCTCCTCGATTGCAAACTTCTCTAAAGGAAAAGTGGGATCCTCCCGCCTTGTTCTCCTAATGTCTCCAGACAGGGCTTCGACCACAGTGGATCCTGGATAACCTCTGAACTTTTCGAAGTCAGTCCCTTCAAAGCAAAACTCCATGGCTTTGATAGCTTGGCATTCTGGATCTATTCTGTATGCTGACATTCGTATTTTTCTTGAACAGTGAGCTGTATTACAGACACACGGTCTGATACTTTCCAACACCAATGTATATTATTCCTCCATTTATTGTTGACAATAAATCCGTTTCCATAATGTTTGCATTCTATCTATAAAAATATCAACTGGCGTTTGTTTTTGCGATGTTACTATTCAGACCAGGTTCACTTTTTCATTTTCCAAATATTGTCTTTCTCAGTATGAAACATCTTAAATAAACAGCCACTGCGCAGCAGTAAATGGAGCAGTCATTATCTGCTCAGCCAAATCAGTTCATACTACAGTAAAATGACATCTTTATAATACTAAAACTCTGTGAATTTTGTTTGCTTTCTTGCTTGCTTGTGTGTTTGCCACTGTGCACACGAAGTCATATATAGAGAGTGGAGGAAAGAAAGATTTATTATCGTGTAGGAAGGAGGAGAGAATGAAATGGTGTGCATACATGAATTGCCAGTGATACCATTTGAAAAAAAAAAACGCTCTTTCTTTCAAATCCTCTCTCTTTTTATCTCTCTTTCTTTCTACTATTCCTTCTTTCCACCTCTCTCTTTCCACCTTCCCGTGATTGCATGCGTGTTTATTTATATTTTAGCTTTCTTGAAACAAACATTATTTTAAATATTTAAAAAATAAAATTTAGCCATATTTAAAAATAATTTCAAGTTAAAATGATTCAAAAAACGATTTGTTTATACAGTAAGTATTTTTTTATCTCAACTTTCTTCAAACAGATTTTTTTTAATGTTGAAAGCAGCTTCATTGTTTTATAACCTACATTGACTCAACGGGTCAAGTGTAGTATAATACTAAAGGTCTGTGAATTTGGCGGAACTTCGGCCGTCTGTCGCATAATGATTTATGTTTCTTTGCATATCTCTCTTTCGACCACTGTCTTTTCCCCTCTCTCTTTCCACCTCTCTGTCTATCCACCTCTCTGTCTTCTCACCTCACTATTTCCACACATCTCTCTTTTCACCTTTCTCTCTCTCTCTTTCAACCTTCCTCTCTGTCTTTACACCTCTCTCTTTCCACCTCTCTGTCTATCCACCTCTCTGTCTTCTCACCTCTCTCTTTCCACCTTTCTCTTTCCACACATCTCTCTTTTCACCTTTCTCTCTCTCTTTCAACCTTCCTCTCTGTCTTTACACCTCGGTCTTTCCAACCCCCTCTTTCTACTTCTCTCTCTTTCTACCCCTCTCTTACCACCTCTCCCTCTTTCCACCTTTCCCTCTTTCCACCTCTCTGTGATTGCGTGCTTGCTTATTTATATTTCAGCTTTCTTTAAAAAAAAACAATATTTTAAATATTTAAAAAAATATTTTTTGGCATATTTAAAAAATATTTTCAAGTGAATATGATCTAAAAATATCTTTTGGAATATTAAAAATATTTTAAAGTTAGTCTGGTTTTAAAATATTTTAAGTGAATAAGATTTAAAAATGCGAGGTGTTCATAAAGTAAGTATTTTTATTTCAACTTTCTTCAAACACACACTTTTTTATTGTTGAAATCAACTTCAATATTTTATAAACTGAAGCGTCAGTGATCCAACGGGCCACGGGAAGTTTAGTTAAAACGATAGAAATGACTTAAAATAATAAAAAAAAAGCAAAGAAATATGAAACATTGACTGTGGCAAAAAGTCATTTATATTTATTCGTTGATGTGAAGTGTAAAATTTCCACATATAAAACAAAATTAATCAGCATTGTTTTGCATTTAAACTTTCTTTTGCTTGATGACATAATTGCTTGATTTTTATGCCAATTTGTAAAGGTATTTAAATCTCTTAAGCTTCGGAAAATCTGAAATATAAACACAAAAATTGGTTTAAATAGAAACATATTATGAAATATGTAATTAAAATTTATGAATTAATCTAGAAACACGGATTAGTAGGTACAATATAAATTACGCCTAATTAAATCATCTACTAAATAACGAGAACATTACTCACTAAATCATATGCCAATTCAAATTATGTTAATGCCAAAACTTAACTGACTGAATTGATTGATTAACTCTGGAAACGAGTCGCTTTTATATATTTTAGTTGTCCTTCTAGAATATTCTACAGAAATCAGCAATTCTCGAGACTATTCTAGTAATCTATGATATTTTAGCTTAATTTACTAATATTAAAATGGTTTAAAAATGACAAAATTAAAAATATTTTAAGGTGTTACATCTAAAAGTATACGTAATATAACAATGCCATAACAATTGGTACACATATCTAGTTAAAATCCTCGTTGCGTAATATGTAACTGCAAAAAGACTTTTTATGAATACGACGAAAGGGGAGGAATGTCGAGAGGTGATAGAGAAAAACCGTGTAAAAATTCGTGTTCAGCGCATCGAAATTACATAGAACTCATTGTCAAATCTAATTAAATGGACAGAAAATTGAAATCGGTTCCCCAGGGTTATTAATTAAAACAACAACAACACTAACAGCAACAATAAAAAAAAGTAAAGAAATATAGATTGGCAGTTTGGAGGGGAAGAAGAATTGAACCGGTGGATTGAGTTCAAACTCTAGCAAGGGTAGTTTACGTTTTCTTCGAACTGATGCCTTGGAGAAAGACATGAGTCCAGTTTAACTCCACTATGAGTAAATAGGATAATTGAAGATTTTTACCTTTCT